TTTACTCACCGGTGGTAACAAGTGCTGATTTGATGGCAGCTGGAGACCAATCGGGATGCACTGCTTTGAGAAGAGCTGCAATTCCAGATACATGAGGGCAAGCCATTGAAGTTCCTGACATAAATTGATACCCATCTCTCACTGCCGCCAAGATATTGACTCCCGGAGCTGTGATGTCAGGCTGAGGAGAAGGTAAAGGATGAGCTCAGTGCTCTGTTTTTCCATTTTCCAGTGGAGCTACGATCGACCCTCAACAGCGTCTTGTGCTTATCAGAGGATTTATAGTTGGTTTTATCATTGCTTTCAAGCAGAGGATGATTTTACTTCTCAAAGTTTTAGATGTGGGAGGGGTCCGTTTTGCAATCTATTATAGGAGACTTCATAATTATCATGAACAGAGACAACTATAGCTGCGTACATACCTTCACTAAGTCCGGATAGCTTGTATGCGGCCCTCTTGCGGAGAAAGCTGCCACCCTCGGCGACATCACTTGGCTCCCGACGATGTTGGATGCAGGGCTCACACGCACCACGGGGATTCTCCTACTGTCAATCTATCCGTGGTCAGACTCCCAAATTAACTGCACGGCGCGGGTGGGGATCAGAATGGAAATCAAGGAAACAGACCTTGCAGTTTCCACGTTGGCATAGTTGGCTATCTGTCCGCCTACATCAAAATCCACGAGGACGCATGTAATGCCGCTGCAGTCTGGGAGGATGCTGCGCGGGAATCGTGCAATAATAGCTCCCCTTGCTCCGGCTTGCGACAATCTCGCTAGCAACTGGGAGGTCTCACCGGCAGCATCGACGGCGGCAGCAAATGCACGATCAAAGCATAGCACAATCTTGTCTGCTAATTGCGTGAGATATTGAGGCACCACTGAGCAACTACAACGGATTACATGTACACGTTACTGTTTGCCCTCTTCTTAGACGTGTGAAAAGAGATCCAAGGCAAAGAAGACAACAGTAATCGGTAGTCGTTACCTGTCAAAAGCTACAAGAACTTTGTCTCCTGGATCACTGGACGCGTAGCACATTGATTGTCCCTTCAGTTAGGAACAAATTGATGAAGATTATAAGTTTCAAGTTGATCAATATCTGGTAAGAGATACACGGGCTCGTACGTACCACCAGAGTTCGTCCGTTTCCAAGGATTATGTCGGTCGGAAAAGAGCGATCGATAGTGCTGGCAGCCACCGTGATGACCCATGGCACCGCGTTGTTGATTGTTTGAGGAACCGGGCCATCGTTGCCCCCAGAGAAGACCACCGTTATCCCCTTCCTTACCGCGCCTAGTGACGCCGGAAAATGACCATACCCACCGATCGACAGTGACAAGATGTCCACCCCGTTATCCACCGCGTCATCTATGGCTTGTAGTACGTCGGCTTCCCCGCATATTCCTGATCCCCAGCACACCTTGTAGATTGCTAGCCGCGCACGAGGAGCGCCTCCTCTTGCTGTACCGGCACCGAGACCGTGGAAGTTTACATCGCTTACCAGAGAACCTGCTGCGGTGGAAGCGGTGTGTGTTCCATGGCCATTGGCGTCACGGGGGGAGTCGTAGTCTCGCGCGACCTCCGACGGGTCGACGTCTTTACTGTAGTATCTTGCACCGATGATCTTGCGGTTGCAGTGGTTGACGGTGAAGTTTTGACCTACTTCACACTTTCCTTTCCAACGGGATGGGACGGGGCCATAACCGTCGTCGTTGAAGCTTCTCGATTCCGGCCAGATGCCTATGAAAGAAAAACTCCCATTGACATGCTCAATGATATATAATTAGGCGATCAGTACTGAACAGATGATGCTTAATTACCTGTGTCGACAACTCCGATGATGATGCCATCGCCTTCCTTGCCTTTCTCAAGTAGTCCTGTGGGTTGCTGCTGGCCAGACCGTAGGCCGAGGTAGTCCCAGCTTCGTGTGGTATGCAGAGGAAAAGTGCGGCTTGGACTGACACTGATCACCTCCGCCAATTCTAACACCAAAACGACAGTACAAATGGAATTATTACTGTAACTATGCATATCATACAGATTAGTGCTTTGCTTTTTTCTCTACCGATAGATCATATCTCAATGGCCAATAATAGAAGCTTTTGAAAGCTTGATATCAATGCTTCATGATCTCGATTTCAAGGTTACCCATAATACTAAAAGTTATTATCTAGCTCTTATGATTCATTCAAGTTTTTTCCTGTTTTCGTTTTCGGTACGAGAATGCATGCTAAGGACCTGCAATTTGGCGTGCTTGAGATGGCGTGAGCGTGGCCGCAAAGCCCGAGAAGCAATGTTTGTAGCTGTAAACAATTGAATCGCGAGCCTTTTCCTTGCTGAAACGACACAAAGTGCACCGACCAACCAACCTTAGCGCACAAAGGAAAGTTTAGAGAATAGGAAGGGTGGCGAAATGTGACGGAGAACATATACCTCCCCAGTACGGAAGACAGCATATCATGGTGGGAAGCAGTCACAAGCTGTGGATCTTCGGATTGTCTTTCTCCAAGATCCACAATGTACAGCTTCGCAGTAGAAGAGGGCACAGAGACACTCACCTTTGTTGATGGGTTATCTCCGAGTGTTACCCATTGGAAGTAGCTCCAAATGAGAAGAAAGATTCCCAGAGACATGGAGGATAGAATTGGAAGGGAGGCCATCTTCGGCTATGGAGCGGCAGCATTCGTACGGTGGGCGCTATTATAAGCTACCAAGCTAAAGACGAAGGTGATGGGGCTGCCACGTGATAGGAACCCACAGGTCAAAGTCAAACAAGAATAATAAAATTGCGGGCACAGTTGTAAGGTATCTTTGGCGCTACGTTAATTACCCGTGACATACACATGTAGACATGATTATAATATGTTTTACTTGCAGATCTGGAAATTGATGACTCCAATAATAAAAGAGTCATTGATACTATTATTGCATGGCCTGAATATAGAGAAATTGATTATGATTTTAAAGAAATAAATAATAAAAAATATTTATAAATGGCAAACACTTTTCACTGTGTGATAGGTCAATGCAAGTTGGAAGTTCATTTATTATAATATATCAAGATTCGTTAGTGTAATATTATACAAACTGATAGATCTCAAAATTGAGTTTCACATGTTAGCATAATATCTTTTAATTAAAAAAATATGAGGGACAAAACACATAATACTTAAAATAATATTTCATATTAAGTTGAATCAAATATACAGTTATAGGCACGATGACCCGTGCAAATGAAAATAATATTTTTTACTGACGAAGTCTTCTCCGTTCACGTTATGTGATGATGTTAGTGAATTTTCTATTGGTACTTAATAGTTTAAAATGAAAAAAAATAATTATAATTGACGTGGTTATCGATTTATAATTTTTAAATTATTTTTAAAGGGGCGTTTCTAATTGCTTGAATGCTTCACGTTTTTATTATTATATCTCTAGAGTCAATAATAATGTGATCTTATCCATTATTGTTATGCCATGTTTTAGTTGTGCCCTCGTAAGGAGGGCCATCTTAACTTAGCTTATCAAATCAATCATGTAGTTATAATTGAGGGGATCATTTGACCTAACGATCCAAGATCTTTCATTTCACGGAAAATAGATATTATGGCATGCTTAATTTTCATACGATGTGAGTCACATGAATATCCTATATTATCAAGAGGAAAGTTTGTGGTTAATGAATTTAAAATAAAAAATTATAAATTTTAAAACAAATAAAGAATATGAAAATATATAATTTTATGAGTGAATTCTATAAAAAAAACTCATAATTTTAGATTTTTCACACTAATCTTAAAAGTTTTGATAGAATATCTATTTTTATAAATGATTATTTTACATTTATTGGTCACCACCCTTCATCGTTTCTCCATCCCACTAATTATCCTCCATTATCTCATGCTTGGCCACCCTGATCGTTGGCCCTCATCATGATCGATCGTGGCTCTTGCACAAGGGAGGGGTTGCCTACTGGTCTTCGCATGGTCGTCATGCCAAGGGAGGATGGAAATGAGTCTGAAGAGGGAGAAAGCAATGGGTAGGTTCAACATGGAGGGAGAAGGCCAATGGGTCTGCAAAGGTGATCATGGCCCTCTTGTCTCCTCCTACCTTACAAAAGGGTCATGATTAACAATAGTGAAGACCGATGGATCAATTGACCAAGCATGAATAGAGACACTATTAGAACTAGAGCTACAGATAAATTATTTTTGATGTTACAAGACAAAAGAGTCTCTTCATATAGTCACGAGTGCTTACGAGAATTTTTCAACTTAGGATGTGAAAAAAATCAAAAGTTAAAAACCTTTTTTAGGAATTCACCCTAATTTTTTTACTATATGGACTTTTATTTTAATTTAGGTTGTAAGTAAATATTTAGAAATTAAATTAGTAAGTTTAGCTTGATGTCATACGTAGGATTTTGAAAGCTTGTATTTTTTAATATATCATTAAAATGATACTGCTAATTATAGCTTAGCTCACATTTTTTTCTCATTAAGTATTAATAATGTTTAATATTTCTATTATATCTTAATTTCATCAGCTCTTATTTTAATTTGGGCTGACTGGTTCGGAGCAAGTGCTCCTGCTTGGAGAATATAACAAGATTTCCAAATGTCCTCAACCATTTTCTTTCTCATAAATGTCCTCAACCACTCTTTTGAGGACTTGTTTTTATCTAATATCATCTTCCATATTCCATTGAGGTCATGATGTGTCTAATCTTCCGTGAATTAAATTAAATCCCCAAAGCATAAAATCGATGTGATTTTTAATATCATACCCATCGCTTTATCATGATTTTGAAGTCAACGATTTCTTTCGATTTTGTAAATGGTCGTAAAGATAAATTATTCTTGACTTGGAAGTGTATGTTATTTTCTTTTCCCGTTTTGCATCAATTGGTCAACTCCTCCGGTCATATGCACACTCGGGAGGAGATTTCATGGTCCCACACGGCACCATTTCGTACCACAATCCACTTGGCGTTATTGCCATTAGCCAAACAATTTGAGGGGCCAATCATTTGTCTTCTGGCCAATAATAATAATTCATGGACTTCGAGTCCTTTATGAAGTATCGCATGGAAGTGTCACTGCAATATTCGTGTGGAAATCTTTTACATGCCATCATCCTACACGAGCGACACAACGGAGATCCTTTTATTCCTTTATGACGCACACAAAGAAGTGCATATATATATTCTCTATACTCCAATATATCTTAACACCCAACTCCATTGTTTGACGTCTTGAATGCCTAAGAGACAACCAACCAAATCTCACATGAATTAGATCTTAGGAGGCGTGAGAGAAGAAATCATAAATGATCCCCCCAACCGCGATCGGAATCCTGACCGTAATGCTTCCCACAATCATCTACCCGAGTCAAGCTTCCGAATGTGAAGCCTCCTTGCAGACGGCTCCACATCAATGTTTACAACGGCTGGAGACTGCACTGCTGCCGTGTAAGTGGAATTCGAGTCGCCCACATTGGTAACGGTTCTCGACACCGTCACAGAAGTCTCCTTCAGGTCGGGAATGGAGATGGAGGGAAGATTCAGTTCATATACACGTTTGTCTCCCACCCCGGAGCTCCAGAGGTCAGGAATGGCGCTCGAAGACAGCTCCAGGCCTTCGTGATCAACCAAAGCGCTAGTGTTTGATGCAGCGTTCATGTAGCGGAAGAAATTGAAGTCCAGGATCTGCGACTCTATTAGGATCGACGTGACCGCCACCAGGATTCTACTAGGAAGTCGTACGCACCGGTGGTAACAAGTGCTGATTTGATGGCGACTGGAGACCAATCGGGAGGCAAAGTGCCATTGAAGTTCCTGATAAGAATACATACCGATCTCTCACAGCGGTTCGGATAAAAATTTATATTTTATATTTTGACTAATATAAATAAATACTTTTAGATAACTTCGAATTACTGTAGATTTAAATTACTTTTCTTATCTTCTACTAGTATCTCTTCTTTCTCCTTGGATCAATGAAACTAAACATACAACCTAAAATTTCATATATTCATGTTCACAAATGCTAAAGAGAGATAATACTTGTAATTCACGTCATCATCTCCGTTCACAAACGGATGCCAACAATGTCTCTATTGGAGATTTGATAGTCTATTTGTAATTAAGGTGATGTTTTCCATTCACATGTTCATTTTACTACCTTTCGATTTGGGTGATTGGCACTCGTGAGTGGAGGGTTGTAAATAAATTACAAAAAAAAATATTAGAAATGTGGTATTTCAATTTAAACTTATATCAAAGAAATAAAATATATTATTATTAATTTTAACCTACGTATTTTGAGCATCGTTCAGGCTCAACCAGATTAACAAATCAATTATTCCATCACGTTAAATAATGACAAAAAAAGAGTTCAAGACAAAATTAACAATAAGGCTTTACCTATCCACCCATTTATATTTCGATATGATATACACATTCCTTTAAATATTAAGATTGTAAACATGCATCTAAAACCTCAGGTTGATGAAAGCTAGCAATAATGATCATTAATTATTTTAGACTAAAAATATTTAAGTATTTAAATTATTTCTAATATTTTTTATAATCATTATATTTCTTAAAATATATTAATATCATTTAGAATAATAGCCACAGATGATAGTAGCCGAAGGATATTAACATGCTGTCATATATACAAGTTTTTATATGTTGCAAAGATCTATTCGCTTTGGAGGAATAAATATGAAAACAATTTATTTTGAAGGTACGTATATTCAATTTGACCTCAAATATATGAAAGATGAAAATAATACGTGTAATTTGAAGTGTCCTCTCCATTTTATGTACAGGATTTCCTCTCTCTCTCTCTCTCTCTCACACACACACACATTATTTCAATCCTTTTGTTAAATGCAATGGCTTCCAATCACGAACTCCTCCTCATAAAGATAATTTTCTATCGAGATAAAGAAAATTATTTTAACCCCACTTGAAAATTTGACAAATGTTGATAGCACACAAAACAAATATTTTCACATATTATAACAAGACGGATAGAGATGGTGATAAGTTTCTTAACTTTAAATATTACTTTCCTAAAAACTTACTTTAGTGAAAATATTATGATATTGTATTAAACTCTATGTTGTCTTCACTTTATGTTGTCTACACATGAACTCTTATCTCCTTTTTTTTTTTTTATCAACTTTTACTTTTTCTATATATACATATGAATGATATTTGGATATGGTGTCTTTAATATTTTCACTATACATAACTAATATGGTATGATATCCCAGGGATTACCAACCAAGTCATTCTCATTATATGTGCACTGGATTGAATGCCTCATGATTCCATAAAAGGCATAAGATGTGTGAAATTATTTTGACAATAATATACATCTTTAATAATCCTAGTATCACCCTATAAAAGATCTCATCCTGTTAGGTGCATTCCTAGATATAGAAGAGCAAGTATAGAGGGATTTTGTCAAGCATACCTCCCATATAAATTATAGGGTTCGGTATCTTTAGGATTTAGTTATCACGAACACCAAAAAAGAAATAAATATAAAATAAATTCTTAATTAACTTCAAATATATATCATAATTAAATTTTGATATAATGCTAATCAAAATCAATATGTTTGTAATTATTATAATCAATATACTTATTTCAGAAGCATCACGAGTGTTATAACTCATCCTATATGATGGAGGGCACCATCTCTTTCTCCATATTAGGCCGGATGATGTTATTGTTTATCCTCGTGTGAAGCTCATATTGATTTCTTTTATA